TTTCCCCAGTTTTCAACGCCATACTCTAAGTATGGTAAAATCAATGAAGAATACAAAATACGTAGTGCTTTCCTGTCCAAAATATATCTAACCCTTGCCAATATCGATATGTTTTTTGCTATTTTGTTCTGAACATATCTGATATGAGATTTCCAGGAGAATTTATCATCAACTATGACACCTAGAAATTTAATTTCATATACTTGTTCTATATAAGCTCCCCTGATTTTCACTTGCAGTTCGTTATCTAGTCTACGATTCCCAAATACCATAAATTTAGTTTTATCCATATTCCGAGATAGAATATTACTATCACACCATTTCTTTATCTTCTCAATATAATGTTGTTCTGTGTAATTAATGGTTAAGCAGTCACACAGTGTATATTTTGAAAACAAATATAGCCTAGATGTGGGTTTACTCATATATATTGATTTACCATAGATGTGCATAGATCACTGTGACAAAAAAACAACCTGCCCTAATAAGGACATCAATACCTGCACATCCTAACTGATATTACAATAAAACATCAATATAGGTTATTTCAGATGTTTAGGTTTTGAAGCCTGGTTAAGATCAAAGTATTTTGAAAAACTTAAAATGAAATTCGCCTTATCATTATACAACCTCTTAGGCTTATTTAAAAATTGATGCAACCACTGTGTAATGATTCATTTTCACCAGCAGATGGCAATGCCGTATCAGCCAAATCTCTCCGGTCATGTAGGACCGGGAGTTAAATTGGCCCAGAGCCCAGACGAGCTCATCTCTGTCTCTTTAAGTGTCACGTTGTTGGCAACACACACACTTTTGTCTTAAACATTGCTGCTTTCTGACAGTGTCTTAAACAAATGTAGACTGTAGCTTCTTTTCTGTGACTTTATTAAATATCACACAACAGCAAGATCAACACATGCGTGTCCAAATTAAAAGAGGGGCTGTACAGAATTTACAGATGTGGCACCGTACTGGTAATTTGATTTCATCAGTTATTTAAATCTTATTAAAATGATTTAAAATGAAATTGTCACCCCTCTGATTTTTAAATCATAAAAACCAAAGATGGACAAATGTATTTTAAAGAAGGTCAAATTGGTGTGAGCATATGATGGAATAATCTTGGCCTTTGCAATTACCTTTAATGACCTAGCCCATTTTAGATGTATGGAGTTCAGTGCAGACTCTGAAAAACAGAAAGCTAACTTCTGCCATAATTACAGAAAACACCCTCAGTCATGTGGATTATTGCAAAATCACTTTGTGATTATGTCATAAGTTTAACTGCAGCAGAATACATTACAGTTAGAATAGAAATAAGACAGGTGCAAACAGCAAAAGTAGTCTGTTCTTTCTGAAGAGTTCATGGGTGTCTTCCTTTAAATAGAGCCCGTTCCTCACCCGCACATCAACCTCCGGCATAATCACGCGGCAGTTCAGAAATAGAACTGCGAGGTGGGAGATCAAACTATCACCTCTTAATTGTACCCTGAGTCTTAAAGATGCTGAGAGCCCATTAGCGCACAAAGAAGTGTGCTGTGTACTGCTCCTGAAACATGCATCCGCATAATGCAGCTGGGAGATGAGTCAGAAGTTAGACAAGTGGAAGAAGCACCACACTGGCATCCACCTGTCCTGGGAGTCACATAAAGAGATGCAGACTGCAAGGTGAGGTGATGATGAGAAAGTTTTCTCTGTCAGAAAATTAGGAAGGAAAAGGGAGAAGAATGTAGCTGTAATGAACTCACTGTGGTCAAAAAATTACAAGCCTTTGTCTCTTAATTTGATATGTAGTAAAAAAAAAAAAAGACAGGGTTGTGTGACTTTTGAGGTGAAGGTAAAGCATTTTTCATTTATTTGTAAGTAGCAGGTGACATCTGACTGGAGACTTTAACATGTGAAGTACAAGCCACCAAAAGAATATTGGCTGTTTTGTCCCAGAAGCTGTAGAAATGAAGAGTCCCTTTTCCCCAGAAGATTTAGTAGATGTAGTTTTTCCTCTGGTGGTGAGGTCTTCTGAGGGTGCCAGGAGACAAGGAAGAGAATGTGACATTACTAAATCTGCTGAAGTGCTCTATCAAAGTGCCAATACATTGATTTTGACCACAGATCTGTTCCACTCGACTGCCTGCCCTACCCCAAACATGGCTCTCAAGACAGGAGTCCTGCAAGAGCCTTAGTACCCCTGAATCCTGTTCATCTCCTCTGGGACACTCTGAGAAGGGGGAAAAAATAGGGGCCAGTGACCAGCATGGTGTACCCAAGGATGGGTAAATGGTGGGAGGGGTAGGTTGTAGAGATGGTAAATGGTGGTGGTGGTCCAAAGGGGAAGGCTTGTTGAGGTGTGTCCCAGTGTCCTCCAGAGGGAACACAGGGGTTTGAAATCAATGTGCTGTTAAGTGCAGCTTAGCTGCAGGATACTCTTTCCAACATTATCTATGCACCAGTGAGTCAGGGCCCTTCCTGTGCGCTGCACACGCCGTCTGAGAGCATTAACACAAGGGCCTTACACGCCTCCGGTTCCTCTCACCTCTGTGCTCTCTGCCAACACTCAGCGCCCTTCTCCAAACAGTTGTGGCCGTGCTAACTTGAGACTCATCGCACACCAGGGTCTCACTCCAACAAACCTGTGAGCATTACACCCATACTATAGTTGCCCCCATCCCCCCTTCATCCAACACTTCCAAAGAAAGTAGTGAGACTAAATAAAGCTTTGTGTTGTATACATAAACACCTGGGGTGAGCTAAAAGCAGAGCCTTTATCAGCATCATTAGGATTGTCAATGCCCATGACCTCCACTTAATACTACAAAGAACATATGCTCATTACATGCACATAAAACAGAATGTCACATGACATGTACTTGTGCCAGACAGTATCTACATGCCTTTTTGTGTTCAGCTAAATAGCTAAATAGTTATCCCCAATATGATATGATCTACTATGGTACAGTGAACCTAGTTCTTGGCTTTGGTGTGGGTCTTGGTGTTCATGCAGTCATCAGAAAAAACTGTATGCATCATTTTATTTACAATTATTAAGACTGGATCAGACTCATGTTGACTCTTTGTAAAATAAAAACGGTTAAGTGAATGCATCACAAAGTAATAAAGTGCCATATGAGACTCGGTCTGTCCCTGAGGAACATTTCTGCAGTTATTCTAACCGGCTTAATAATCATTTAACACAGGTGCCATTTATCAACACATCAAAAGGGGAAATATAGTGTGAAGAGGAAACATAATCGCCCCCATGTCAGTCTTGCCTGGTTGTGGGTTACTTTTTAAAAGGGGCATCTAAAAAATCTTGACCCAGACACACGTCTGCCTATGGCTGCATTT